GAACTCAAGTATCGTGAGAGAGTTAGGTTAATAACCGAGTCGATCACACCTATCGTTGAGAGCAAGGCCGTGGCGAAGCCGTGATCGAGACAAGTTGAGGGAACGCAACACCCGATCCGTCATCACCGCGCCAGCGCGCCCAGCTAGCGCGCCAGGGCTGCAGTGCGTGCCAGCGCGGCCAGCAGCAGCGCCTGTAACACCCCACCTTACTGTAAAATCAGAGTGCGCTGAAATTCGCAAAGTTATTTAAAATAAAACCTTTTTACTTCGCGAAAAACTGTTTCGGGGTGCTACCGTGAAATATCATTACTTAACTTAGAAAAACCGTTGTTTTAATCTTAATAAAAACGTCCGGTTACTGAAAACTTTATTTTCTTAAAAGTTCGTCAAAGTGATGAGTTCGTCAAAAGCGTACGTCAAAAGATATCAAAACATCATCACAAGTCATCAAAAGATAAGCGGAAGCGTAAGTCATGATTATATTTATACAGTCCATAACGTATATAAATATCCTGAGAGTCCCGTCACGCCAAGTCACGCTCCCGGCCCGACCTCCTGACCTGAAAAACATGATAAAACTGGGGAGTGAGCACTAAGGAACTGTGCTCCGTGGAAACTCATACTAATGTAAAACATTGTAAATAATAACAATATCATGAACTAAGCATATATAACTGAACTGAATCTGATACCGGTCTGAACTCGCGACCGAAGTCACGTAACTGATAACTGATCTCGTGACCGAAGCCACGTAGTGACATAAGTCACATCTGAACTGAACATCTGCCGGCGAACCGGACACCATGTGCACACTCTAGTGGGCAGACTAGGGCCACTAGAACCCAGAATGGACCGGCGGCCATTCCGAGCGGATACTGAAAATACATACCTCGAACATGGTAGAGCAATTATAAACAATGTAGTACTTAGTCTGAGTCCCCACCTGATCTGCTGAACTGAAAGGTGGTGCTGATGCCTGCTAAACTGAAAATAATATAAACAATTACTATTGACTATGCTCAGACTGTTAACTTAACTGATTAATTTCGTTAAGATGCTCTATTTAACTTAACCTGATTTTTAAACTTATCCGGAATAACCGGAACTGACTTAATCTGAACTGATTTGGACATGAATTTACTGAACTGAAATAATCCCAGAATTTTACTGAAAATGACTCTAAATGCTAAACCGGGCTAAATAGGCCGAACCGGATGAAAAATGATGCTGAACCGGTCGGCTGGTCTGGACCGGTCTGGACCGGCTGCGGTCCGACCGAACTTGTAACACCCCGCTATTTTAAATACATCAGAGTGCGCGATTTTTCGCAATTTTCTGAATAAATAAATAAATTACCTATTTTTGCGAAAATTGATCGGGATGCTACCGTGAAAACTTGATTTTCTGAAAACCGTTAAAATTTTAAAC